GGACAGCAGCAGCAGCAAAGGTCTCCGGAAGGGAGCGGCGACTCCCAAAGGCGCCTCCCCTGCCACCAGTTTTGTGAGTCTTGAAGGTGCTCCTGGACTCTCCCTCTTTCCTGCTGCCACAGACAAGCTAACAGGGCTGCCGGCCTCAGTCTGTGTCTCATGATGTTTGGGAGGGGCTGTGGCTCAGCGGCAGAGCCTCTGCTTGGCAGACAGAAAGTCCCAAGTTGGGCATCTCCACCTAAAAGGACCAGCCAGGTGGTGATGAGAAAGACCTCGCCCTGAGACCCTGGAGAGCGGCTGCCCGTCTGAGTAGACAAGACTGACCTGAATGGACCAGTGGTCTGATTTAGCATAAAGCACCTTCCTGTTTTGGTGAGGGGCCGTGGCTCAATGGCAGAGCATCTGGTCAGCATGGAGATGGTCCCAGGTTCTGTCCCTGGCATCTCAAATTAAAAGGACCAGGCAGGAGGTGATGGGAAAGACCTCCGCCTGAGACCCTGGGGAGCTGTAAAGAGGGGCTGTGGCTCAGTGGAAGAGCCTTTGCTTGGCACGCAGAAGGTCCCAGGTTCAATCCCCAACATCTCCAGTTAAAACGGACCAGGCAGGAGGTGATGGGAAAGACCTCTGTGCCTGAGACCCTGAAGAACTGTAAAGAGGGGCTGTGGCTCAGTGGCAGAGCCTCTGCTTGGCATGCAGGAGGTCCCAGGTTCAATCCCAGGTAGCATCTCCAGTTAAATGGACCTGGCAGGAGGTGATGGGAAAGACCTCCGCCTGAGACCCTGAAGAACTGTAAAGAGGGGCTGTGGCTCAGTGGCAGAGCCTCTGCTTGGGCATGCAGGAGGTCCCAGGTTCAATCCCAGGTAGCATCTCCAGTTAAAAAGGACCAAGCAGGAGGGGATGGGAAAGACCTCTGCCTGAGACCCTGAAGAACTGTCAAGAGGGGCCGTGGCTCAGTGGCAGAGCCTCTGCTTGGCATGTAGGAGGTCCCAGGTTCAGTCCCCGGCATCTCCAGCTAAAAGGACCAGGCAGGAGGTGATGTGCAGGACCTCTCTCTGCCTGAGACCTTGGAGAACTGCTGCCGGTCTGAGGAGACAACAGGGACCTCAGTGGACCAGTGGTCTGATTCCCTTGTCTCAGTGCCCCTCCCCAGAGCCGTGGCTCCTGCCCCAGGGTAGGAGTGGGGTCTGTGCCAGGTGCATGGTGGGCTCTTTCTAGGAGGATCAGGGCACAGGCAGTGTCCAATTGGGGGGCCACCAAAGGTTGCTGCTCCCCCCCCCGGTTCAGACTAGACCTCGGCTACCCAGGCATTCTGAATCCAGGTTCACATCCGATATGAATTTTAAACAAGGTAATTTCTGTGGGTCCGGCTGAGTGCCTTTGTTTCAAACCGCGGTGCACAGCAGAGGGAAAGACAGCCACTCTGAAGGGACCTTTGTTTGGGATCTAAACTTTGGATCGTTGCAACCCGGCCACGGCCTCTAGACACCTGCAGCTGGGAAGCTGCTGGTGGTGGTGGTGGTTTTAGGGTCTACGGGGCAAGAGAGAAGGGGGAGATCAAGGACTGGGGGTGCTCAGGACCCAAAGGCTTGAGAAGCAAAGGTGACGGGGCCCCTTGCTTGCCTGCCCCAAGAGGAGTGCCGGTCGGAGTTCTCTTGCGGGCCCGGAGGGGGTTGCTGCGTTGCTGGTGGCTGGGAATTGCAAGCCCCTCCTCTCCTCCAGCAGCCCTGTCCCTGGGGGACAGCCCCCCCCCAGCCAACACCTGGGTGCTGTCCAAAGGGACAAAGTGTTCTCGGGGACGCATCCAGGGGAGGGGTTTTGACTCGAGCTCACAGGCAGTCAGCTGACCGTGCAACAGCCCTGCGGGATGAGGCCAGGCATTAGTCTAGGCCAGCATCCTGTTTCCCACGCGGAGACAGCAGATGTCCCCTAATGTTGCCTCCTGGCTCTGAGATCCACAGGATTAGTGCCTCTGAATGGGGAAGCTCCCCTCAGTCACCCTGGCGAGTAGCCACTGATAGACTCACCCTCCTAGACTTTTGTAACCCACTTTCTGCTTTATGACAAATTACACCTAGACGGGTTTTTTTTTAAAAAAAAAATAGAATCATAGAGCTGGAAGGGACCTCCAGGGTCATCTAGTCCAACTCCCTGCACAAGGCAGGAAATTCACAAATGCCTCCCCCTCCACCCCCGCAGTGGCCCATGCCCAGAAGATGACAAAAAAAACCTCCAGGATCCCTGGCCAAACCGGCCTGGAGAAAAATGGCTTCCTGACCCCAAAGTGGCAATCAGCATTTCCCTGGGCGTGTCAGAAAGGGCCACGAGGACTAAGCACCAATGCAGGCCTTCCTGCCCTCCCTCTTGTGATCGGCCTAAGTTCACAATTTTAAATTTTTCATTGTGTTTCGCCCCCCTGTTGTCCGTTCCATATCCCAGTTTTGTGATCCTATTCCCATGGGATTGTTTATCATGGAATCACTGAGTTGGAAGGGGCCATACGGACCATCTAGTAGTCCAACCCCCTGCCCAATGCAGGACCAGCCTAGAGCATCTCTGACCATTATTCGTCCAGCCTCTTCTTGAAAGCTGCCAGCGAAGGGGAGCTGACCACCTCCCTGGGCAGTTGGTTCCACCTCTGAACCACTCTGACCGTGAATCCAGCCGATACCTTTCTGCGTGTAATTTAAACCCGTTGCTTTGGGTCCTTGCAGTCTGATTGAACTGCAGTATCAGTGTTGCAATCCACTGTGCTTCTCAGGGAGAAAGGTGGGCTACCAAGGAAGTAATGATTTAGAAAAAAAATCCTTCTCACCACAGCCCTGCAGGGTAGGTTAGGCTGTGAGTGTGTGCCTGTCCCACGGCCACTCAGGGCAGAGTAGTACTTGCTATGGGCCACGATGGGTAGGGGGGCACGGATTCTTCCCTCCCTCCCCTTTGTGGTCCTTCTGGACATCTGCTGCGTCCCTGTGGGAAACAGGATGCTGGACTAGACTGACTCCTGGCCTCACCCCGCAGGGTTCTTCTTAGGTTCTCAAGCACAGTGCGCCTGCAGCAAAGGGGGGGGGGGACCCACACAACAAAGCCCTGCAGTGGACTGCGATCCTCTCCCTCATAAAGTGACCCCCGCAGCTGTTACTTCCCTTATGCTCAACTTTACAAAAATACCCTCCTGAGCCTTTCTGGCTGGAAACAGCAAGAAAGGGGCGAAAGAGACACGGGCCTAAGCAGCTGAACACGTTCCTCTGACTGGACTTAGGAGCAGTGTTCCCTCCAAGCTGAGTTAGCGTGAGCTAGTTCACAGTTTTTTAGCCTCCGGCTCGCACATTTTTTTTGTCTTCGCTCAGGGAGGATGGGGCTCCAGAGCAAACTGATTTACACAGCAGCCCAATGGCTCGCTCACCACTTTAATGCCAGTAGCCCACAAAGTAGAATTCTTGCTCACAGGACTCCACAGCTTAGAGGGAGCCTTGCTCTGGAGGAGTACAGAGCTGCGGGCCCCCACTGGGAAGAAGAAAGGCAGGGCACCTTCAGCAGAGCGCCGCCTCTGAGCAGGACCTGCCACGTGGCCTTCGTGGCTCAGAGCCTCTAGAACGGGAGCGGGCTTCTCAGAGGGCAGATGTGTTCCCACACCAGCTGCCTGGGCCTTTGGAGCAGGCCGCTGTTGGCCGGAGTGACTTGGAGTGCTGAGTGTTTGGTGTCGTGGTTAAGTGCGTGGACTCTAATCTGGGAGAACCGGGTTTGATTCCCCACTCCTCCTCCACTTGCACCGGCTGGATGACCTTGGGCAAGCCATAGTTCATTCAGAGCTGTCTCTTAAGGGCAGTTCTGGAAAGAGCTCTCTCAGCCCCACCTACCTCACCGGGCCTCTGTTGTGGGGAGGGGAAGGGAAAGGAGTTTGTAAGCCCCTCTGAGACTCCCTTGGGGAGTGAAGGGCCATGGGGTATAAATCCAATCTCCTCCTCCTCCTCCTCCTCCTCCTCCTCTTCTTCTTCTTCGTCCAGATAGCTTCGGAGGGTGGCCATGTTGCCCTGAGGTAGGACAGCTCAGTTCGAGTGCCGCACCTTAGCGGCCAACCCGATTTCCAGGGCAGAAGCCGTCGAGCGTCAGACATCTGGTAGAGAGAGCTTTGGACTCTTGGCTCTGCTTACGCCCAGGGGAATCGGGTCGGCTCACGCGGTGCTCCTCCGGCACTCGGACCGAGCGGTGTGGTCCCGAGTAACGAGGAGGGGCCGCATGGCCCAAACTGGGCTTGGCCCCGCTCCTTGGCCCTTTCCAGGGGGCCGTCAGGACTGGGCCAGAAGCAGATGTTTATTCCTCAGGGGGGAATCAGGAGAGCAGGTCATCGCCAGACTCGTGGAAAACCGGCCCCCTTGCCAAGAACAGTAGGTCAGGGCAGGGGGTCACCTTACAGAGAGCCGGAGGGGAGGGGTGGGGAGGCAGAGAGGGAAGGGGGGACGGCTGGGCACCCCTGAAACTGGACTGGACGGCCCCACGCACACAGCTCGAGCACTCTGTAGCCCCGCCCCCTGCTGGCCCACCCTCAGCATGACCGGCTTCCGCAACAGCCTCAGTTCCCCTCGGGGCAAACCGGCTCCCGGCCGAGATGCCGCTGGGACCGCTTCCTCCTCCTCCTCCCCCGGCCCTCCCTTCTTCTCCCCCTGGTGTATAAATAGAAGAGGAAAAACAGCCCGGGCTTTATGAGGGCTGGCACCCCTCTGTGTGTGTGTGTGTGTGTGTGTGTGTGTGTGTGTGTGTGTGTGTGTGTGTGCTGGGGGGGGGTTTCTGCATGCTTCCGCTGCCCACCGCTTCCTGCCAGCCTCTCCCTTTCTAGGCTGGGACAGGAATGGGTGAGGAGGAGGACTCCTGGGCAATATGCAGCCAGGTCACCTG